TGTTGGCATCTCTCTCCCTTTAGCTCTGATAATATTTGCTTTATATATCTTGTTGCTATGGTGTTGGGTGTATATACATATATTTATAATCATTACATCCTCTTGCTTATTTAATCCCTTTATCACTATATAATGTCCTTCCTCATCTCTGAGTAAAGATTTTGATTTAGAGTCTGGTTTATCTGATATAAGCATAGCTATTCCTGCTGTCTTTTTGTTTTCCATTTGCATGGAATATCTTTTTCCATCCCTTCACTTTCAGTCTATGTGTGTCTTTGCAGGTAAGATTCATTTCTTGTAGACAGCATATGGATTGGTCATGATTTTTTATCCATTCAACTAGTCTATGTCTTTTAATAGGAGTATTTAATTCATTCACATTCAGGATTATTATTGATATGTGAGGTCTTACTCTTGTTATTTTGTTGGTTGTTTTCTGATTGTGTTATGTATCCTTTGTTCCTTTCTCCCTCTCTTATTGTTCATCCTTGTGATTTGGTGGTTTTCTCTCTCAGGTTTGACTCCTTTCTCTTACTAATTTGTGTCTGTTCTGTCAGTAAATTTTATATTTTCAGGAGTTTCCATGATGGTGATTATCATTCCTTCTCTTCTAGATGTAGGACTCCCATAAGCATTTCTTGTAAGACCTGACTGGTGGAGATGAATTCCCTTAATTTTTATTTATCTGAGAAAGACCATTTCTCTTTCCTTCCTAAAGGATAGCTTTGCTAGGTATAGTATTCTTGACCAGCAGTTTTTTGGGGTTTTTTTTTTTTCATTACTTTGAATAAATTATCCCATTCTCTCCTGGCTTGTAAGGTTTCTCATGAGTAGTCGGCTGTTAGTCTAATGCAGATTCCCTTATAAATGACTTGAGGCTTTTTTCTTGCTGTTTTTAGAATTCTCTCTTTGTCTTCAACTTTTGACAATTTGACTACAATGTGTCTTGGAGAAAGCCTTTTTGAGTTGAATCTGTTTGGGGACCTTTGAGCTTCCCAGAGTTAGATGTTTATATTTTTCCCAAGACTAGGGATGTTTTTAGCTATTATTTCATTAAATATGTGTTCAGTATCTTTTTTGTTTTCTTCTCCTTCTGGAATGCCTATAATTTGAATATTTGTTCACTTAATAGTATCCTATAAATCTTGTAGGCATTGTTCATTTTTTTAAGTTCTTTTTTCTTTTTTTGTCTTCTTGGGTCATTTCAAAACAGTTCTCTTCCAGATCAGAAATTCTTTCTTCTGCATGATCTGGTCTGTTGTTGAGACTCTCAGATGTGTTTTTTATTTCACACAATGATTTCTTCAACTCCAAGATTTCTGTTTGAGTTTGTAATAATATCTGTCTCTTTGTTAAATTTCTCATTCGGGTCATGAATTGTTTTTCTGATTTCACTGAATCGTTTGCTTGTATTATCTTGTATCTCAGTGAGTTTCCTTTAGATTATTAATTCGAACTCCTTTTCTGACAAGTTGGCAATTTCTGATTCTTTGGGATCAGTTATTGGAGCATTATTTTGTTTCTTTGCTGGTGTCATGTTTCCTTGTTTTTTCATGTTTCTTCTTTCCCTGCATTGATATCTGTGCATCTGGTGGAACAGTCACCTCTTCAAATTTTGTAGAGGGCTTGTGTGGGGAAGGACTTTCACCTGCAAATATCTTTGGAATTTGGCGGGGTAGAGTATGCGGCCTCTAGATGGGGCTTCAAGTTGTGGGTGAGGATGCCAGGCCAAACTGTTAAGGGCGAGACCTCCTCCCTGGTACTCTAGGAGGGCACAGATGTGTTTTACTTCCACTGGCTTGGGGCTGTGTTCACTAGAATGGGGACCTGTAAGCTGTTTTTCTAGGTTGGGAGCTTGTGCGTATAGAACTCAGCCCACTTGCAGGTTTGTGCCTGTCTGATCTCTGGCTGGGAACCTGGGGGTTTGTAAACTCAGCAGGCCTGGGGTTGGCTTCTAGACTTCAGGACTAGAGTCACAGCCACTATGGGCCCAGGCTTCAAGCCACTGAAGTCAGGGCACTGTAGCCTCTCCTGTAACTGTGCTGGGATGACTGTGGAACCTTAAGGCTGGGGAACTTTCCTGGCTGCTGGCCTCAGGGCAAAGTGTGCTCCTACAGCAGCTCTGGTTCCAAGATGGCACTATCCTGCATCTGCTGTCCTGCATCGGTCATCCTGCATCAGCCATCCTGCATTGGCCCTCCTGCTTTGGCCATTCTGCATTGGCCTGGGTCATGAGGGTGGGGAGTGGGAGTGCACAGTATGTGCTCCTTTTCTGGAGCAATGCAGTGCATGTGTTCTTGGTGGCAGTAGAACCTACTGGTCTCTGTGGTGAGGATGGAGGTTGGAGTGACCCTCTGCCTGCCTTTTCTTTCTGCAAGGGAAAGTCTTTCATGTGCTCATCCCCCTGGTGGACATGTGGTGGCTGAGTTCATGTGCCTCTCGCTCCTCTCTATGCCACCATCCTGGGCTTTTGTGCTCTCACCAGTCTCCTGCTGCCCTCCTGTGCTCTCCCACTGACACTCGCATTGATATTTAACTGTCTGTTAGTTGTTCTGGTTCTTTTTTGTGAGGTGCCCTGAGCGGACCTCTAGTCCACCATCTTGCCCCATCACCTCAAAAATCCAGTCTTCTAGTCACTCTCAGTAGTTAGAAAAGCAAAGTAATGTTGGTATCATGTTTACAGTGAGTCACTCGGTTGATGTCAGACATCCCACAGGGTACATCATTTAGTAGCACCTCCAGGCTGCAAGGATCCTAGCACCTCCTATATCTAGCTCAGTCTTAGAATCTCAGAATTTCCTCCGGCTTACCTGAAATTGTCTTCATCTCTGTCAGTTCCTGGGGCCCTAGATGGAGAAGGACATTTCTGCTTCACCTTCCCACCCTCTGGGCTTGCGTTGGTGGGCCATCTGGTACCAACCCTTGGTAGACATTTCTATGGCTCAGGGACCCTGCCAGCCCTGCCTCTCCCCTGTGTTGTTTCCTCTGTCTCACTCACTGCTGGCCTGGAGCATATTCTTCAGTCAGCCATCTACCACTGGGGTGGTTAGACTTCATCCAGTTTCTGAAGTTTTTCAACGTGGCTTAGTTTTGCCAGTAAACAGGTAGCCTCAGAAGTAGGCACCATTTTTCCCTGAAGCATATCTGCAACACATGTTCCGCCTGTGACGGCCAGAAGTAGAAGTGAGTCTTTTCATGCTTCAAAGCCCTGTTCATCCGGGAGCGACCCACTGACAGATACACACCTTCACTCGCATGAGACAGCAGATGTCTCCTGAGTTGGGTGCACAGCCCAGCCTTATCAAGCTCAGCCACTGGATCTATCTGCTTCCCCAGTTTCACTCTGTAGCTCATCACTTATATAATCTTTAGCTGAGGCAGTCTTTGAGAATCCTGTCTTTACAGCATCAACACTATTTTAAAAACACATGAAGGCAGACTGACATAATTCCCCCCCACAAGGAAAAACCCATATCATTTTAGTCGCATAAAGCCTTTACATATTTATTAATTCATGGGGAAAAAAGATAAATGTGGAGACTCGATAGTTCATAGTTGGTTAATCAGCAAACTTTTCCTTCATCCCTTTGCATGTAACCATTTAATTGAGACTGGAAAGTGCTGCTGCAGAAGTACCAGCTCCTCCTAAACCTTGCTGTCTGGCTGCACCAGCTGAGCAGAACTGAGTGCAGATGACATCAAAGGGAGACATGCATGCAGGTGGCATGAAATCTAGCAAACTTTGCCAAATGTCATAGAACGAGATGTACTCTACAGCAAATCCCATCTATCTGGTGAATGTACTCCAGTGTGGAAAATCTAGAGTGCCTTTGCTTTAACACCTTACTCTGCAAAGATCTTGAGGAAAAAAATGCACATGGAATCATGGTAGAAATTTCATTATCATGCTCTAGAATTTGGGGGATTTATTAAAATCTAAAATCAAGCTAAGTTAGTTTAAGTTAATTATCACAAATATCAATTTTAGGCCAAGCAAATTATTTAGGCCATGGAGTTTTGTCAAAATGCCCAACCAAAGCCAAGATGCTGGCTGCAGGCTGCAGCACGGGAGGAGCAAACACGTGCTTTGCAGTCGAGTGCTCGTTAGATGCTGGTTCTGTCTCTTACAGTTGAAAATTTTGGGAAAACTTACTTTTCTTGGATCCTCAGATTCCCTATTTGTGAATTGGGGTTAATAATGCTTATCTTGCAGAATTTGAAAGGATATCAGATACTACGTGAAGAGAAGCCAGCACAGTGAATTGAATAACAGACACTCCACAAAGAATGACCTTTCGAGTGTAATCAGTACTGTCCAAAAGCGCAAGGTCATTCCACATTCAGTAATGAAGTTCTACCCACCTCTTGGAAAGGAGGGTTGTAAGCCTACCTTACTGATAGTGTTTACCTAGAATTTATCTCTCTTTAACANTTGGATCCTCAGATTCCCTATTTGTGAATTGGGGTTAATAATGCTTATCTTGCAGAATTTGAAAGGATATCAGATACTACGTGAAGAGAAGCCAGCACAGTGAATTGAATAACAGACACTCCACAAAGAATGACCTTTCGAGTGTAATCAGTACTGTCCAAAAGCGCAAGGTCATTCCACATTCAGTAATGAAGTTCTACCCACCTCTTGGAAAGGAGGGTTGTAAGCCTACCTTACTGATAGTGTTTACCTAGAATTTATCTCTCTTTAACATATTTGTGATGAGAAATATTTCTTAGTTCTTTCAGTGTATTAATTTGATTAACATTCATGACATTTGGTACAGTCACTTTCTCAAAAACCATAATATAGCTTGTCGACCACTCTATTTAGTCATTTTTTAAAACTTTCTTATTTTCCATCACCTTGAGGATTATAACTTTACTACATTTTTTTAACTTGAGTGATATTAGGATCTTTTACCACAAATGCTGAAAAATTGGTATGAAAAGACCCATCTGAAGCTGATAACAGATTTCCAATGCTTACAATTTTATTTTAAAATTAGGCCTCAGAAGTCTGTAGAAACAGAGGAGCCACTTTCCTGGCCAGGCCAGGACACAGCCTGGTAGCTGCTATTCGAAGCCAACACCAGCATGAGGCATTGCCACTGGGTATGTATCACCGTCTGTGAGCGCTTGGCTTAGTCTCGTTGTCCTTGTCATGAAACCTTTAATATTCGAGATTGTGTGTTTTCTTTCTCCTCTTTTATGAGGCAGTCCGTTCCCCACCCTTGCTCCCACCCTCCCCTGCACCCTCCACCGTGCCCCCCTTTCTACTCTCTTCTGCCGCGCCTTTGCACCCCTTCTTTGTTCCATTCAGTGATTTGTTACGTCATCCAGAAGAGCATAGTTTCAATGAGGTGATGGATTTTACGTTGCTAAATACAGTTTTTAATTTATGCCTCTTTCTACGTATGTGTGGGGGAAAGTTTGCACAGTCTTCATTCCTAACCTTAGCTGCCTCTTCCGGAACACATGCCACTTTTACGAAGGGATGAGGTGAGA